AGAGAGAGAGAGAGAGAGAGAGAGAGAGAGAAAGAGAGAGAAAAGAAAAGAATGAGTGCTAAAGGACTGTCTGACGGAATGTACCATTAGGAATTTTATGTATGACAATTAACAATCCGGAACAGGAACTGCATTCCAGAGGGAACGGGGAAAACAGAAGAAAGGAAGAGGAAGGAAACTGCATCGATGAGTGAGTGAGGGCCCAACCTTTCTGTAAACTTGCATTAAAATCACAATTTTTAAAAATAAGGGGGTGGGAGTGCGTGCTGCCCAGTGTTACTGTTAACGTTATAGACTTGTCTAAGGTTGTCTGAAGCTGCACCACAGGGGTGTTGTTCCACGTCTGGAGGGTCATGGCTGTCTCCACCTTGCCCTCTGGGTTTCATTATCTTTCTCCAGTCTGTGTGATCTTTGCCCTCTTAATTTCCTCTTCCTTCACAGGCTACCTTTCCAATCTCCATCAAGGTCTCACTCTAATAACTCAACTTATTTCTTCTCGTCCTTCTTCCCTAGCTCTAGCACTTCATGAATCTGCTTCATGAACTGTTTCTCCTCAAGAAGATGACCTGGCATGAGACACCCCACATGGCAATCAATGGTCTGAGGAGACTTTTCTCTATTGGCCAGCACTCTGTGTCCAGCTGTTCCCAGCTTCTCATAGGGACTTGGAATCTGACCTTGTAGCTTTACTGTTTGAGCACTTACCTCTCCCTTGTTCTGTTATGCTGATGTTCACTGCTGGCAAAGGTTGCCTTTGAACCACCCAGTGAACCTGTCAGAAGCAGAGTCACCTGCAGAGTAAATAGACCAAGGCTCTCTGCATGTTACTCACCTGGTCTCAAGCATCCCCTGGACCAAGACTGAAGTAGTTCGGGCTGTGTTCTTACATTTAAGCCAGGGTCTGGAGAAGTGATCTCTGAAAAATAATGTCATACCTTTGAAGCCTATTTCTGTGTAATAGAAACAATATTTCAAACACATGAATTGAAATATAAATTTCTTATTCAAACCATTTGTAACTCATTTAACTAAATCTGTTCTCCCCCACCTCAAAAAAAAAATCCTCAGGAAGTTCCAGCCCCTTAGGAATCCCTTTTTGACCCTCTGGATTCCTCTCTGCTCAACTACAAGTGTACCTGCAATATTGGCTTTTGATACCATTTTTCACTTTTGATTCCTCCTGAAATAACTAAATAAAATAGCACAATGTGAGTTCTTGTGTGTTTGTTTTCTTTAATTCACCTTATGTGTAATTGGTTTATCCATATTGTGTCTTATCATTATAAAGAATCACTTTTCTTGACCGTGTAGTATTCCTATTCATGAAACACATAAAGCTTTCTTGATCTTCTATTGATGAAGGTCATTTGGTAATGGGCAAGTTGTGTCCACAACAGAACCTAGGGGGAGATGAGTGAGGGGAGGAACACCAGTGCTTGGCTTGACCAGTGTCATGTTCTTTCCAGGGCATTATCCATTTATCTATTGTTGTGGTGGTGGTACCATTGAGTCAAATTCACAGTGACCCTATGAACAAAAGGTCTGAACCCTGTTCTGTTCTGCACCATCCTCACAATTCCTGACACACAAGATCCCATTGAAGCAGTCACCATGTCAATCTACCTGGAGAGGGTCTCCCTCTGCTTTGCTGGTCCTCCACCTCTCCCAGCATCATGTCCTTCTCCAAGGAATAGCACCCAACCCGTTTAATCTTTCCAATCACATTTGGAAATAGATGGTTATTACATAGCTTCTAAACTGTGTTTCCTTTAATTATTGTTGTGTACCAAGTTAGAACCAATCCATAGCTGACACTCCAGCAGGTTTTCAGAGGTAGTTTTATTCTTATAGGAGAAGAAAACCTTTCTCTCTCCCATGGAGCATCTGGTGGATTTGAACCACATGCCTTCAGGCTTTTAGCAGTTTCTTTCCACTAGGCCACAAGAGCTCCTTTTAATTACTAGAAGAAAATTAATGCAATCTGTTTTTTTAAAACTGTTTTCAAGAGAAATGGCTTATTCCCTTCCCATATGTAATATTTAGTAGTTGCTTTGCATCATAGAGTTGGAACCAACCCATAGCTGACCCTCCAGTGGGTTTTCAGAGGCAGTTAATTGCACAGGAGGAGAAAGTCCATTCTTCTGTGGAGAAGCTGGTGGCCTCAAACCATATGCTTTAGTGATTACAGCACAGCTTCTTGCCACTAGACCAGAGCTCCCTTGATATTAGCTACCACTTCTGCTAACTGGCTTTTCAGTTAACCACTGGTGTTTCACAACCTTGTACAAAACTTGTGAAATCTCTATAAATAACAAATAGTGTGAGATAGAAATGAAAAATGTTCCCACTCTCCTTGCAGCAAAGGAGGAATAGAAACCTTGCTGTGTCATAGAATGAGATCTAAGCTGATAAAATGCTGTAATGAGAAACATTCTGTGTAACTGGATACTCATCAGGATGCCTGCAACTTTTCCCAATTAGTGTAGAGTAGTGGTGAGAGCAAAGGCTCTAAGGCAGGTTGCCTCAATTCCAATCTTACTCCTCCATATCCTGGACTATGATATTTAACTAGTTAATTAACACATCTGTAGTTCTCATTCAAAATGTAGTTGTTGTTGTTGCTATGTGTCGTCGAGTCGCTTGCAACTCATAGCGACCCTATGTACAACAGTCCTAAACCCTGCTCTGTCCTGTACCAATCACACTGTCTCCGACACACTCACCCCATTACCCCAATCACTGAATCAATTCACCTCATAGAGGGTCTTCTATGTTAAAATGTAGAGATAATGGTTTCCTTAATGTCAAGGTTTTTATAAGGCTTTTTGTATTTATTTACTTAATGTTGCTATATATTGACCCATAGGTAGCATTACATAAATATTTAGTGTTATCCATGACTGGAAATAAGTTCTTGGAAATCTACAATTAAATATCTTCCTGTAAAATGTGTGTAAGACCTATACATTAAGAGCTACAAACGTTTACTAAGACAATGTGGGGAAGATGTAAAAAATGGAGACATATACCAGATCTGTGAATTAACAGAATTACAACCATTACAATGTTTGTGGTATAATGATATAACCATCCTCTATGATGTTATCTGATCTGATCAACCAATCACTTGTAAAGGGATTAGGGAAGGATCAACACCCTTACTCAGGCAACAACTTTGATCTGATGTAATGCAAATGTGGCTTGCAGGACATGTTATCTTAGGAGAGATGAAAGAAAAGTGAGCAGAAGAAAAGGAACCTTGGTACAACCAGCAAAAAATAAATGAGAATAGAATTCATTCTTTGAATCCTGGGTCCCAATGCTAAGAAACTCCTAGATCTAGTTGAAGACTATTGTTAAGACACCTGGAAGTATCTAAGAGACATTGGTACCATAGAGGTTGAAAGGAGACACGGGTCTTCTCCCAAAACTGACAAAGAGAAAGAAAGCCCTTCCCCTAGAGCTGGGACTCTTGAGTTTTGATGTCCTGTCACTTACCTCATGAGAAAAGAAATTTGTTTCTTCGAGTCATTCAAGTAGTTTCTGTTACAACAAAACCAGCCCCAAGTGTGTGCATTTCCTCATAGTCCATATGGTTCGGTGCCGCGGGCTGCTCTAGTCGGGAGGGGCTTATAAGCCTGAGGTCTAGGGTCTCGAAGAGGGAACACGAAGGTGGGTAGAAGTTTGGCGAAGGGGCGATGAAAGAACACAAGACAAACAGCCAAGTGATCTTGATGAT